TTTTTTTTGCCGGTCATGGGGCCTGAACTCTGGGTCTGGGTGCTGTCCCTCAGCTCTTCAGCTCAAGGCTAGCGCTCTACCACTGGAGCCACAGCGCCACTTCCAGCTTTTTCTGTTTATGTGGTGCTGAGGAATCAAACCCAGGGCCTCATGCTTGCAAGGCATGCGCTCTACCACTGAGCCACCTTCCCAGCCCTCACTTGGCTTTTTCACTCAAGGCTGATGCTCTGCCACTTGAGCCACATCTCTCCAGCTTTTTCCTGGTTAGTGGGAGATAAAGAGTCTCATTAACTTTTCTGTCCTGGCTAGCTTGGAACTGACCCTCAGATTTCAGCCTCTTGAGTAATTAATTATGACTACAGGTGTGAGCCACCAGCACCTACCATAGTAAAATACCTCCAATATCTACTCATTGCCTATCATGCTTATTATCACAGTAAGCGGGGGGGGGGTATGTTGGGGAGCAGGTATCTTTAATCAAGAGAGATTTATGCATCTGGAAAAGCGAATACAAATTTGCTGGCTACAGTTGATATGGTTTAAGACTGCTCACAGAAAAGGAGTTAAGGACTAGATTATAGTGGAAATCTGGAGGGTCACCCACCACCAAGAAAAATGATGATGGTAAATAAGAAGAGTAGAGTGTATTGTGAAGGTGGAAACTCTTGGACTTCGGAATTAGTAAATAACAGGGACTCACTGGCACTAATTAAGGAGCAGGAAACAACTGGAAGCATACTTTAGCAATACTAAGCAGCCTCGGTATGTTGTGTTTGTTCAGACAGGCAGAAATCAGGCCTGAACTGAAGCCACAGAATGCAAATCTGGACAAGGGAAGGCCAAACATCCCTACCTGTTAAAGCAAGTGTACAAATTATTCTGTTCTAACCAATATTTTGCATAATAAAAGAACTTGAAATTGTGCTACTTTAAAGATGTTTTATTAAATGTACATGATTTCCATTTGAACTGTTCAATTAGTGAGAGCTATGTGTATAAGCGTTTTGCTCCTTTAAAACTCTGAACTGTAAGTGTTGACCAGTGGTAGAGTGGCGAGCACCCTCACGGCCTCTGCAGGCTCCCAGCACAGCAAAAGCATGAATACAGCTCTTGTTTAAAGTAACTTTGGGATAGCAGTTGAAGGATCTGTTTCTAAAACTTCAAATTGATGCTGAGTTTTGAGGCTGAAGACATGAAAAAGATACTTCCAGAAATCTATGGCTTCTGATGCTTGGGTCACATTGTCAGCTTGGCTGAGTAATTCATGATCTATCCATGGTAATTGTTGTTGTTCAATTGTAGCACTCAAACTCAGGGCCTGGGCACTGTCCCTGAGCTTTTTGGCTCAAGGCAAGTGCTCTGTTACTTTGAGCCACTTCCAGTTTTCTGGTAGTTGGAAATAAGAGTCTCTCTGACTTTCCTGCCTGGGCTGACTTTCAACCATGATCCTCAGATCTCAGGCTCCTTTTTTTTTTTAGTCGTGGAGCCTGAACTCAGCCTGGGCGCTGTCCCTCAGCTCTTCAGCTCACGCTTCCACTTGAGCCACAGCACCACTTTGGGTTTTTTCTGCTTATGTGGTACTGAGGAATTGACCCAGAGCTTCATGCATGCAAGGCAAGCACTCTACCACTGAGCCACCTTCCCAGCCCTTGGATTTTTTTTTTTAACAGCTATAGAAATTAGTTGCAAGTTTGTTTTCGTTTTTGTTTCTGTTTTTTGCTTGTTTTGTTTGTTGGTTTTTGTGGGTTTTTTTGTGTTTTGTGTTTTTTTGTTGGTGGTGTTTAGGTTTTTTGGTGCTGATCCTGGGGCTAGACCCTGTCCTTGAGCTGTTTTTGCTCAAGGCTGGTGGTTCTACCTACTTGAGCCACAACTCTGCTGCCAGCTTTTTGGTAGTTAATTGGAGTTATGAGTGTAATGGAGCTGGCCCGGTGGCTCATGCCTATAATCCTATTTCTCAGGAGGCTGAGATTTGAAGATCATCTTTTTTTTTTTTTTGGTCCCATCGTGGCGCCTGAACTCTGGGCCTGGGCGCTGTCCCTCAGCTCTTCAGCTCAAGGCTAGCGCTCTACCACTTGAGCCACAGTGTCACTTCTGGCTTTTTTCTTTTTGCTTATGTGGTGCTGAGGAATTGAACCCAGGGCCTCTTGCATACAAGGCAAGCACTCTACCACTGAGCCACCTTCCCAGCCCTCGAGGATCATCTTTCAAAGCCAGCCCTGGCTCTGATATTTAGCTCCAATAAACCACCAGAAAACTGGATGTGGCACTGTGGCTCAAGTGGTAGAACACTAGCCTTGAGCTGAAAAGCCCAGGGACAATGCCCACGCCCAGAGTTCAAGACCCATGACCAAAAAAAAAAAAACACAGTGTGATGGACTTTTCTGCATCAGGTCTCAGCCTCCTGAGTGGCTAGGATTACAGGTTTGAGCCACGGGCTCTAGGCCTTCCTAGTACTTAGTTGAAGCATTAGCAGCATGAGTCACTCCTTACAAAGGTCTTCATGATTTCTTTCCACACTGCAGGAATAGTACAGAAACAGAGGACGCAAAGGCCGGCCCGGGCCCTGTTTGGATCACTTGTCCCAGTTGCCTGAGCCTGAGCAATGACTGCTGAGTCGAGGGAGGCCTCGGGTCTGTCCCCCCAGGCTGCACAGGAGAAAGATGGGATTGTCATCGTGAAGGTGGAAGAGGATGATGAGGATGAGCAGGCATGGGGGCAGGAGGGCCTGCAGGACGCACCTCCTCCTGACCCAGAGGTGTTCCGACAGCGTTTCCGACGCTTCTGTTACCAGAACACTTTTGGCCCCAGAGAGGCGCTAAGTCGACTGAAGGAACTTTGCCATCAGTGGCTACGACCAGAAATAAACACCAAGGAGCAGATACTGGAGCTGCTGGTATTGGAGCAGTTCCTTTCCATCCTGCCCAAGGAGCTCCAGGTGTGGCTACAGGAGTACCGGCCCGACAGCGGAGAGGAAGCTGTGACCCTCCTGGAAGATTTGGAGCTTGATCTGTCTGGGCAGCAGGTAGGATGGCGCAAAGCTGCTCCGTGAGAAGGGTGTGGGATTTGGAGCAAGGAGAAAGTCACTAACATAGAGCTATTATTAGGTCACTTTGTGCTGGGCACTCTGTTACAGAATGTTCTTGGGGATCCTCAGAGGTAGACCCTGTGCTTGATGTTTGCAAGCCCACACATTAAACCCCTAGACCCTTCACAAAAATGTGTCTGGCTTCTCCCTGCTTTTCTTTACTATTTTAATTCTTAGTTTAAAAATGATTTGCCAGGCATGGGGAGGTAGCACACACCTGTAAGCCCAGCACTCAGGAAGCTGAGGCCAGAGGATAGTGAGTTTAAAGGTAGCATAGACTATATAGCAAAACTCTGTTTCAAAAAACAAGAGTGCTTGCCAAAAGGCCCTGAGTTTAAACTCTTAATTCACCTTTCTTCCACCTGTCCCCCTATTTAAAAAACAAAAAAATGCTGGGCGCTGGTGGCTCACGCCTGTAATCCTAGCTACTTAGGAGGCTGAGATCTGAGGATCGCGGTTCAAAGCCAGCCCGGGCAGGAGAGACCATGAGACTCTTATCTCCAATAAACCACCAGAAAATCGGAAGTGGCGCTGAAGCTCAAGTGGTAGAGTGTTCGCCTTGAGCTGAAGAGCTGAGGGATAGCGCCCAGGCCCAGAGTTCAAGCCCCACGACTGACCAAAAAAAAAAAAAACAAAAACATAAAACCAGTGATTTATCCATCAACCTTTGATTTTCCTCAGGTCCCAGGTCAAGTTCATGGGCCTGAGATGCTTGCCCGGGGGATGGTGCCTCTGGATCCTGTTCAGGAGTCCTCAAGTTTTGACCTTCACCCTGAGGCCACCCAGTCTCATTTCAAGCATTCATCTCGGAAACCTCGCCTCTTGCAGTCCCGAGGTAAGAAGCAGGGACTCATGGGGAAAAAAGTCAAGGTTGGGAGTACCTGTGAGAAAGAGGACTGCGTGTTCTTGTTCTCCATAATTGTTATCATTACCAAATATTAGGAAAACTGTACTCCCAGAGCATCTCTGAGAGCTGAATGCTATAAGTAAGGCAGTAAGTGCTCTATGCACAACAAGATGAGCTCATTGGCCTCCACATCATCTGTTAGCTGGCCAGGTAGCTCTTAATCTCCTGATAGAAGAGGGTGGGAATAGATGATAGATTATTTCCAGCCTGGTGAGTTTGTTATTGTTTTTTGTTGTTGTTGATTTTAAGACAAAGTCTCACTACTTAACTTAGGTTGATCCTGAATTTGTAATCTTCTTGCCTCAGCCTCTTGAGTGCTGGGATTATAGGTATAACAACATATCCAACTTCCATCCTTGGGTATTAGAATACTTTAATAAGTCTTAAATCATTTTTAAAAGGTTTGTGAATCTTTTTTTTTTTTTGGAAGGGGTCCGGTCATGGGGCCTGAACTCTGGGCCTGGGCGCTGTCCCTCAGCTCTTCAGCTCAAGGCTAGCACTCTACCACTTGAGCCACAGCACCACTTCCAGCTTTTTTTCTTTTTGCTTATGTGGTGCTGAGGAATCGAACCCAGGGCCTCAGGCATACAAGGCAAGCGCTCTACCACTGAGCCACCTTCCCAGCCCCAGGTTTGTGAATCTTTTTAAGAATCCACTTTATTTAAATACTATAAAAATTTTGTATAACAAGAAAGATAAAAAAATTTGTATAACATTACTCTTTTCTAGGCTATTTTCAAATTTTTCCAACAGTGGTAATAAAATTTTAAAAATATTTTGGTTGAAGAAAATAACAGCTCAGGGTCATATGAATAAATACCTATTTTACTTGCATTTTTTCCAAGTTCAAAGTCAGACTAACTGCACAGAATGTCAGTACAAACAAGGACTAAAAGAAAATGAGAAAGAGTGCCAGACACCAGTGGCTCATGCCTATAATCCTAACAACTCAGGAGGCTGAGATCTGAGGATCATGATTCAGAGCCAGCCCAGGCAGAAAAGTCCATGAGAATTCTAATCTCCAGTTAACCACCAAAAAGCTGAACATGGGGTTATGGTTCAGTTGGTAGAATGCTATCCTTAAGGGAAAAAAAAAAAAATCTCAGGGATAGTGTCTAGGCCCTGAGTTCAGGTTAGCACAAAGGAAAAAAAAAATGAGAGTGTTCAAGAAGAGTTGCAAGAAGAGTTGCTCATAGCCTGGTCCTTTATCAGAGTGTATGTCTGTGATGATGGTGGAGCTTCCTGGAAAGCCTTCCAGGGTGTATGTGAAACATCACAGAGCATTACATTAGAGAGGAAACTAGAGAAAGTATTCATGTATCAGGTTGCCAGAGAAACAGTTGTAGAGACCTTGTGCAGAGAGAGTGGTTGTTATTGTTTGTGAGTGAATAGACACATACTTACTTATTCTCAATTTTCTCTCTCTTTGGGGGGTGAAGGGGGGTTCTGGGGCTTGACCTCAGGGTCTCACTTGTGAGAGAGGGATTCTACCACGTGAGCTTCATCTCCAGCCCTGCGTTCTGCTGGTTATTTTGGACATAGAGTCTAGCAGCTAGTATTTTCTGTTCAATCTGGCCTTGAACAGATCTTCCAGATCTCAATCTCCTGAGTAGCTAGGATTACAGGTGTGAGTCAACAGTACCCAGCTTCAGATTCCTCTTTATCCTATTCATCTTTGTGTTTTCTAACTCTCAGAAGGTTCTTGGATCTTTCTGTACAGTTGACTTTATCATTCTTATTATTGCTCAGTTGGAAGTAGTCACAAGGCTTAATAATTCAGTTTCAAATTCATTTCTCTTAACACTTTTGTACTCATTACCATCATTTATCTACCAATAGCATTTCCACATCTAGTACTCGGCTAGACGAGAGAAAGAGGCTTAAGTTAATTACAGAGTTTAATTTTTTATATGTTTTTTTCTGTACATGGCACATTGTTGTTGTGATCATGTGATGTACTACAGAAATCTTTCATCATACCTTCAAACATCTATACAGACCACCATTTAAACCATTTATATATCTTTTTTTTTTTTGTCGGTCGTGGGACTTGAACTCTGGGCCTGGGCGCTGTCCCTCAGCTCTTCAGCTCAAGGCGAGCGCTCTACCACTTTAGCTACAGCGCCCCTTCCTGTTTTCTAGTGGTTTATTAGAGATAGGAGTCTCACGGTCTTTGCTGCCCGGGCTGGCTTTGAACTGCGATCCTCAGATCTCAGCCTCCTGAGTAGCTAGGATTACAGGTGTGAGCCACCAGCGCCCATTTATATATCTTACAAATCTTATTGTGGCCAAGTATGCAAGAAAATAAAAGGACATAATTAGCAAGAGATCAGACACCTCCTCCTCCTCAACCTTTCTAAGCTATACCCCATTTTTCATGGTATGGGCATGTGTGCTGTTCTGTGGTCTAGACTTGAAGCTGAATGTTCCCATTCTGTAGCTGAGAATAGGAGCCTGGCTTCCAGACCTGACTCTTGCCATTACAGACTGGATGACAGGAGACAAATCATTTGCCATTTGGGGACCTTGCTTTTCTCCTCTTTAAAGAGCTAGAGTCTTTGGCTTGTATGTCTTGTGTGGGGAGCAGAAAGTGTTTTCTCTTTTCCATGTTAAACTAAAATCTACTTACTATAACTCAGAAAGCAAGAAGTTAGACCAGGTAGTTTGTTTTGTATCAGTATTGAGACTTGAACTCAGAGCCTTGGTGCTCTCCCTTAAATTTTTTGCTCAAGGCTGGTGCTCTACCATTTGAGCCACAGCTCCACTTCTGGCTTTTTTCTAGTTAATTGTAAATAAAATTTTCACAGATTTCTCTATCCAGGCTGGCTTCAAATTTTAATTCTCACACCTCAGCCTCCTACATAGCTAGAATTAATAACTGTGAGCTACGAATGCCTGGTAGACGAAGAGGTTTTCAGGATTGTTTTGTTTTGTGGATTCTATGAATCCCATTTAAGAATAGAAGTCTTGGGGAAGACTAAGTCCTGCTTCTCCTTGCTCTCCGGTGCTCTCTCTGGATAAACATCCAGTAGCGCCGGGCATATGCTGGAATGGGAGTGGCCGGGCCCTCCTGTAAGGGAGGCTCAGGGCAGAGCTGATTGACTTAACAGCTCTTTTCTCCTCCCTCAGCTCTCCCTGCCACCCACGTTCCTGCCCCTCACCCCCAAGGGAGTCCCAGAGACCAGGCGGTGGCATCTGCACTATTGACAGCAGATTCCCAGGTGAGCCATGGGCCCCTCTGCCTCCTAAGTCCCCAGGCTCCTTCCTGGAGTGCCCCCTGCGGCCTCCACCAGCCCCACCCACCCCTTTGGATGGGGTCCTTCTACCAAAAACCCCCTCAGCCACCAGGCTCTGGTCACAATTTCTTGCCCAGTGTCCTGTAGCCCAGCATCAGCTTTGTTCATGATTTCAAGTTGGGACAATGGGGCATCCCTAAGCTTGGGGAGAACTGAGTGTGGGGATCTCCTGTGTTTTCAGGCAATGGTGAAGATCGAGGACATGGCTGTGTCCCTCATCCTGGAGGAATGGGGCTGTCAGAAGCTGGCTCGGAGGACTCTCAGTAGGGACAGCAGGCAGGAGAACTGTGGGAAGGTGTTTTCCCAGGGTAAGACAACACAGGGTTCTTGTCTGATGAGAGTGCTTTGCCTCTGCTAGTTGTGCGATAGACACAGTAGTGTTGGTGAGGGTTTAAAGACTACTGACTCCCTCTGTTTGGAACAGAGAGAGGAACTCCAGAATCATGGTACCAGGCCTCCCTGCTCCCCTGCCCCTTGTTACCTCTGTACCCATGTCAGGAGAGCTTCTTTCCTGTTGAAGATGGCCAGGCGACCTGATTATCTATCACATGCCATCCTGCTCTTCCTGAACCTGTTAGGCATCTTTCCACAGGGGCATCTTTCTCTTCCATCCTGGATGAGCGCTGCTACAGCTCTCTGAGATTCTATAGACTTGTACTTGAGCCTCACATTGGGTCAGTTCCCAGTTTCCACACTTAATAGTGCTCTTTCCTGAAGTGCTCTGGGTCCTGAGAGGTGAGAATGAAGAAGCTCAAGAGGCCTCAGTGGCCTACCCAGCTGATACCACCACCTGAACCTCTGCTAGGTCTTAGCCCCTAGGAGACAGTATCACCACCACATCCTTACACATGTTCAGTGACAGCAGGACTTCTGCTCAGGAGGATGGGGGAGGGAGGATAACAGGTTGATGTGAAGAAATGACTTGGAATCCTAGATATAAATGTGTCTGTAATCTCTTTAAGAATTTAGCTCTTTAAGTATTTAGGTAGAAATTAAGGCAAAGAATGCATCTGTGTTTATAAGCTATTACTAACTCTCATAACTTAAAAGGGAATAAAAAGAGAGAAAGAAGACTCTTAAAACTGGCCAGATAGAGAAGGACTGTGAATTAGAATTGAGAAGTAGACCAGGTCCCCCCTCCCTGCAACTGTTGAGCCTTTGGTGATGTTATCATGAAAGTTGGGGTTCAACATTCCTCGGCAACTCCAATCCTGACACTCGGGCCTGGCAGGATCACATGCAACCTCTTGCAGAGCTCTCTTAAGGCCCGGTAGCTTTGTTTTTGTTTTTTCTAGACAAGTAGAACAGAAATGAAAGTGTTTTGGTCTTCCCATAAGAGCACAGGTGGTGCGCATCATACATAGCAGTACACCGTCAGCACCAAAAATCATACATAGCAGTACACCGTCAGCACCGAAAATCATACATAGCAGTACACCATCAACACCTAAAATCATACATAGCAGTACACCGTCAGCACCGAAAATCATATATAGCAGTACACCGTCAGCACCGAAAATCATACATAGCAGTACACTGTCAGCACCTAAAATCATACATAGCAGTACACCGTCAGCACCGAAAATCATACATAGCAGTATACCATCAGCACTGAAAATCATACATAGCAGTACACCGTCAACACCTAAAATGAGGGCTCAGTGGTATGTTTGGAAAATCACGTTTTCGGGCTGGGAATGTGGCTTAGTGGTAGAGTGCTTGCCTAGCATGCACTGGGTTCGATTCCTCAGTCCACATAACAGAAAAGGCTGGAAGTGGTGCTGTGGCTCAAGTGGTAGAGCTCTATCCTTAAGCACCAATCCCTGAGTTCAAGCCCCAGGACTGGGGGGAAAAAATCATGTTTTCATTTCTCTCTATGGATCACTTCTGAAAGTGTTTTCGCATCCTTTTCTCTCTGCTATTCTCCACGTTCATAGTGAAGGCTTTAGATACATCCCTAATGAATGCCTTTAGTTATATTACCAGCTCTTTGACCCTGTGTCTATCACTCAAGTCTAGGTCTCTGCGGCTGTTCCGACCTGCCTTTTTTTTTTTTTTTTTTGAGTCAGGGGAGGAAGAGTTGTTGGGCTTTGAACCAGGCTTGTATTGTGCCACTTAAGCCACACTTCCAGTACAGCCCTGTTTACTTTGTTTTTGTTTTTTTGTCAGTCGTGGGGCTTGAACTCTGGGCCTGGGCCTGAAGAGCTGAGGGACAGTTCTCAGCTCTTCAGCTCAAGGCTAGCACTCTACCACTTGAGCCATGGTACCACTTACGATTTTCTGGTGGTTTATTTGAGATAAGAGCCTCATGGACTTTCCTGCCTGGGCTGGCTTTGAACTGTGACCCTCAGATCTCAGCCTCCTGAGTAGTTAGGATTACAGGCGTGAGCCACTGGTACCGACCTGTTTACTTTTTTTAAACTTAACAACCATTTAGTGTATATGAAATAAGACTCTTTGAATATACGTTAGTTATCTATTGACCATATAATAGGTTTGTGATACAACATGTCCCTTCATTCTGGTTTTTTTTTTTTTTTTTTGGTGCCAGTCCTAGGCCTGGGCGCTGTCCCTGAGATTTTTTGCCACAGCTCCAATTTCAGCTTTTTTGACCATTAAAGATAAGAGTGTTGGGCTGGGAAGGTAGCTCAGTTACCACTTGCCTTGCATGCATAAGGCCCTGGGTTCGATTCCTCAGCACCGCATAAACAGAAAAGGCTGGAAGTGGCACTGTGGCTCAAATGGTAGAGTGCTTGCCTTGAGCTAAAAAATTGAGGGACAGCATCTAGGCCTAGAGTTCAAGCCCCACAACTGACCAAAAAAAAAAAAAGTGTCATGGGCTTTCCTGCCTGGGTTGGCTTTAAACCATGATCCTCAAATCTCAGCCTTCTGAGTAGCTATGATAGGTATGAGCCCCTAGCACCTGGCAGTCCCTTCTTAACTGATTCTCTGCTCTTTCCCTACCATGCCTGATAATTCACATCCTTCCCACATACCTTCTGCTGTTATTTCTCCTTCCTGCTACTCTGTTGACCAGCCTTCTCATTTTCTAACTACATCCCAGATCCACTCATCATTGGCCCAATTTTTTCCCTTGGGTTTTTTTTTTTCTTTGATGAGTACTATGAAGTCATTTTGCAGCCATATAGAAGCTTCTTGGAAAATAAAGTCACTCGGTTAATGTACGTACACACAGGACAGTCTTTTTGTTTTTGTTTTTGTTTTTTTTTTTGTAGGTCATAGGGCTTGAACTCAGAACCTGGGTACTGTTCTTGAGCTTTTTTGCTCAAAGCTAATGCTCTGCCACTTTTTTGTTGTTGGTGGTAGTCATGGGGCTTAAACTCGGCCTGGGTGCTGTCCCTCAGCTCTTCAGCTCAAGGCTAGCACTCTATCACTTGAGCCACAGCACCACTTCCGGTTTTCTGAGTGGTTTATTAGAGAGAAGAGTCTCACGGCCTTTCCTGCCTGGGCTGACTTTGACCTACAATCCTTAGATATCAGCCTCCTGAGTAGCTAGGATTACAGGTGTGAACCATGGGTGTGCTCTGCCACTTTGAGCCACAGCTCCACTTCCAGTTTTCTGGTGGTTCATTGGAGATGGGAGTCTCTCAGAGTTTCCTGCCTAGCAGGATGTCAGCCTCCTAGGCAAAGATTTTTGTTGTTTTACTATTTGTTTATTGTTCTCAGGCTGTGAAAACAGGACTGACAATGAGGAGTCAACATACAAGAGTGAAGTCACAGAAAACTCCATGGTACAGGGGGACACAGTAGGAAGACCCCAGAAAGAGTTCGGAGAGAAACGTGAACATCAGGGCAGAGTTGTCGAAAGGCAGCAGAGAAACCCCGAGGACAAAACGGGCAAAGAGAAGAGAGAAAGCGGGCTGGCTACAGCCAAGGAGAAGAAGGCCAGCGTGGGAGAGAGGGGCCCCCGGGAGAAGGGCAAAGCGCTGGGAAGAAGTTTCAGCCTGAGTTCCAACTTTCAGACCCCCGAAGATGTCCCACCAGGGGCAAAGGCCCACAGGTGTGATGAGTGCGGGAAATGCTTCACCCGAAGCTCCAGCCTTATCCGCCACAAAATCATCCACACAGGAGAAAAGCCCTATGAGTGTGGCGAGTGCGGGAAAGCCTTCAGTCTCAACTCGAACCTTGTCCTGCATCAGCGCATCCACACAGGAGAGAAGCCCCATGAATGTCACGAGTGTGGCAAGGCCTTCAGTCACAGCTCCAACCTCATCCTGCACCAGCGCATCCACTCGGGGGAAAAGCCCTACGAGTGCAATGAGTGCGGGAAGGCCTTCAGCCAGAGCTCGGACCTCACGAAGCACCAGCGCATCCACACGGGCGAGAAACCCTACGAGTGCAGTGAATGCGGCAAAGCCTTCAACCGAAACTCCTACCTGATTTTGCATCGGCGAATTCACACCCGAGAAAAGCCCTACAAATGTACCAAGTGTGGTAAGGCCTTCACCCGCAGTTCCACCCTCACCCTGCATCATAGGATCCACGCACGTGAGCGTGCCTCCGAGTACAGTCCTGCCTCCCTGGATGCATTCGGAGCGTTCCTCAAAAGTTGTGTGTAAGACAAGAATCTGTCATCAAGCCATTTTCTCCCTTTCATGTCTAAAATTATGTCAGAGGTGTGTGCCCATGGAAGAGAAAACAAAAAACAAAACAGCTTAGACAGATTGTTATTGTTGTTGTTGTTGTGTTTTCAAAGTCGCATGGAAGGATCCTTTGAGTGAAGATCAGAAGTGTCTACTTTGCGTGTATAGGCAGCAGCCACACCCTGGCAAGGAAAAGCTGGTTGTAAAGATACTCCAGTGTGGCCATGGGGCTATTTCCACACAAGATAAGCACACACAGTAAAACGTCAAGTTTTCCAGCACCAAGGATACTTTTGAAGGACCCCGGCAGCAATCACAACATATAATTGACAGATCAGAATTGGCCCTGCCCATGGAACACTGAGGTCAAGGAGCCATTTGCTGCAAATGCCCCGTGTCTTCTTCAAAAAGAGAGGGACAAGCAAAACAAAAACTACACTGGGCCATGCTGCTCAGGCTAGTTACATTATCTGATCGCCGGTAGCCTGCCAAAGCTGTAGAAATCTAGGACTGTGCCGATGAGTATCAAACCAAAGATTTCTGTCTCTTCTGGGAAGAGAGAGATGGGCGCCAATCTACAGTTCCAAAGGACTGCCGCAGTGTAGCTGGTTCTATCTGCTTGGACCTCAGTTCTGCCCACACAGCAGCGGTGACTCAACACGCTTCCTCATGTCCAGAATGCATTTCTCCACAAGTGAGCACTTGATTGTACACTGGCTCTTAATCCTTCATTGGAAGTTTTTATCATTACCCCTTCCCTTCCCCCCACTCCCCAAAATATTTTGGTTGTCAAGGAAACAGCCCAGCACTGGACTTAGTGCTGAAAACAAGGCACTCCTTATGACTGGACTCCCAGCAAGACTTCCGCACTTAAGATAAAGCCCCATGAATTCTGAGTACCTGAAATACAGTGGCTGATCCAGAAGCGTGTTATTTTTGTCCTAACTGTATGCAAAAGATGTGGTTGGCTGCCTGTATGGACTTTCCCTAAACATGAATCAGTGAGTCGATACCACAGGATGTCAGAAATGTTGACATCGTAAGAGTAATTTGGCATCTCCATGGCAAAGATCTTAACCAGAATTCTCTTCATTTAGCTGCTAAAAAATGCGATGAATTGGGCACTTTTTTCAGAGTTGTTTAAAACTTATTTCAGAAGATGTGATTTTTTTTAATGCTTTTCAGAAAAATGAAAATTAGGGAAGAAGCATTTTCCCATGCTGCACCAGAAACTTTACAAAGGCATTGGCCATCAATAACTGGAACCTCATTGCTTTATTTCGCAAGTTCTCCAGCAGACTGAGACATGACTGGTTGTGTCAGTGACAGTGCACAGGGCCAGATAGCACTCTTAAGATTGAGGTAAGCTTAGGGAACTTGAGTCTTTCCCATCCTTTCTGCAGGAGGATGCAGGGTGCCCCCTACGAGATGTCAGGGACCATCACTCACACAGGAAACCTATGTGTCATAGGCCTTGCAGGTAGGTGTCAAGGGCTCAGCGATAGAGAAGGCTCTGTTCCTAATAGCTTTGAGGTGGTTGTCGTGTCACAGCCCTGCAGATACCTAGAAACACACCTGGAGGCTATTGGCACAAACACCTCCCTCCACCCCCACGTACAGTATGAGATTTCCCTCCATTCTTCAGTCCTTTGCTCACCAACAGCAGAAGTTCACAGGACAACATGGGGGCCCATGTGGCATCAGACTAAACCACAATTCTACACAGCTATCATATTGAGCCTCTCTTTGGCTTTCATACTTGGACTAACCACAGCTACTTTATAGCTTCTGTGTAGTTTCTTCATTGTTGCCTGGGGGAACTTCATCGTGAGTCAGCCAGTTTCAACTTCTGAAAAACAAGAGATATTGTGGAAGAGAACATAATCACCTTCTCTAGTGAAATACATTAAGGATTTCCCTTGGTGAGCCACAGTGGTAGTTGAATATAAGATTGCTGGTGTGTTTAAAAGAAAAACATGACTGAAAGCAGGGTGGCCAGCTCCAGGAACCCACCCCAACACTGACTCTATTCCTTTTTTTTGGGGGGGGGGTCTGGTCATGGGGCCTGAACTCTGGGCCTGGGCACTGTCCCTCAGCTCTTCAGCTCAAGGCTAGCGCTCTACCACTTGAGCTACAGCGCCACTTCTGGCTTTTTTCTTTTTGCTTATGTGGTGCTGAGGAATCGAACGCAGAGCCTCATGCATGCAAGGCAAGCGCTCTACCACGAGCCACCTTCCCAGCCCTGACTCTGTTCTTGAAAAGGACTGGGGACAGTTCCATATTGGATTTTTTTAAGTCACAAGTATATGCATAATTCACCCAACATTTGGGGGTGGGTTTTAGTTGAACTGAAATATGGCCCCTGCCATTGTATTTGATTCTCCTTTGATCAGGACACCTTACTGGAATTGCTTTAGGTATTCTGCAGACACAACCTGGAGGCTGCAGTTTGAAGGTGTGTGTGTATGTGCGTGTGTGTCTGCGTGCGTGTGTGTGCGCCTCTGCGTGCGTGTGCGTGCGTGCGTGCATGCACCCATCATGGGGCTTGAACTCAGGGCCTGGGCGCTCTCCCTGAGCTTTTCTGATCAAGGCTGTTGCTCTACCATTTGAGCCACAGCTCGACTTCCTGCTTTTTTCACTGGTTAATTGGAGATGAGTCTCATAGACTCCTGCCCTGGCTGTCTTCGAATGACAGTCCTCAGATCTCAGTCCCCCAAATAGCTTGCATTGTAGGCATGAGCCATCAGCACTTGGCAGAAAGTATGTTTTCTGAGGAAAGCAGGCTCCAGCTAGTCACAAACTATCTGCAGCTCATTCATTTATCATTACCTAGTGCAGAAAGTCACTGGGTCACAGTCAAAAATGCCAACATGTTACCTAGCTCAGGATACTCATTCAGAAGTTCAGAACTGGCTGACATCTGTTAAAAGTCTAAAGTTAATCATTAGTATGCTAGTTGACCTAGTGGAACTTTTTAAAGAGTTTATAAATACACACTTTAACCTTGCAAAGAAGAGAAGTCAAATTCTTCAGGGCCTGGAGTAAATGTTTCTACTCCAGCCTGGCAGGCAAGGCTAAGCATAGATATAAGGCACTTCCTATTAAAGGCACAGATGTGAAACTGCCAAATGTGTGGAAAGACTGATACATTTGCTCCATGCCTTGTAGGCACTAGAGAATTTATTCCATAAAGGAAACCTCTTTGAATATGGCAAAGCCTTTAATCACATCTTGACCCACAGCATCAGAAGAAACCTTCACTGTAAATAAACCTGGTTAATGTGTGAGAACTTTCAAGCTTAGCACTCAATGCTTTGGACAGAAAATGAATTTTTTGGTGTGTCCCTGTTCTCATTGGGATACACGGGAACTCAAACTCAAATCCAGGATCCACAGAAGAAAATATAGGGAGATACTGAAGAAATAGCAAAAATTGTACAACTTCTTTCTGAGACTGCAAATGTGTAGTACTTATACATATTTTGTATGAACCATAATCTCTGTGTGTGTTTTGTACTTCCCACCTCTGTCATCCTGTATATTCCCTGTAAACAGATAATGTATTTTAAATCTATTTGACCGAACCCATCACTCCAACCAATGAAATCTGTGGAGTGAAGAAATCAATGTGATTATAGACAAGGAAAAATCTAGTAGAACTGGGAAGGAGGAGGGGAGAGGAGATGAAAACAATCACCACAGTTTGGTGCTTTACTGAACCAAGAATAGAGGTGGGGAAATTCACGAGAGAGTTTCCTGAGGCACCGAAGTAGAATCTTTTCCGGAAGCACCTGGAGTCTCTTCGAGTTTTCTCTTCCAAACCAGGACATTGACCTGAGCTGCTGCACACACTCTGTGGAGAATAGAAAATGTACTGGAACAGCTGTGGGACCACTGAGCCCGACCAACCACATTCTGTCAACCATTACCACCATGCTTTTCCGCCAAGTTGTAAATCCTCATGCTTAGTAAACTTGGGCTGTGAACTAGACTTCGACCCAGAGACATCCCTTAGGGGCACTCTGGAGAGGTCCTCTGGGGAGCCTTTGAGGTACCCCTCAAGCTGTGCTCCTGGGGGCTTTGCTGCTCCACCCCTTCCCTGATGGCTGACCAGGAGGAAGGAGGGGTAGCAAAGATTCATAGTTGTTTCTTTATTTTTTTTTTAAATTGTAGAGTTGGTCATCTCTGTTCCTTAGGCACAGGGACCGCTTTACCCACACTCATTGTGCCATCCTCGTGAGGTGGATGTGTGAGTCAGAGCAACTGTATTGGAAGGGAGTCCGACAGCAGCTACTTGCCAGAGGAGCCATCTCTGTATCCTGCTCTTTGCAGCTGCTCAGAAATACGCGAGGGTGCTGATAAAGGAACACAGATGAAGTGAAATAGAGAAGTAGGAAAGCAAATTGTATAAATAGCTTCTTAGAAGTCAGGGTGGATTTTTCTTTCAACTACTACTGGAGAATTTAATTTTTTAAAAAACATAACTGTTGGAGAGGGGCTTTTTCCCCCCCTAAAAGCACCTACTTATTTTGCTATTCAGATGAATGTTTTTTTTTTTTTATTGTAGCTGACAATGAAATGATCGGTTGTACTTTTCAAAGCTCTGTAAAGCAAACTTGAAGTTACAAGGAGATAAGCCATCTCCAGTTCTGCAAGTCAAAGGAAAGCTTGGTCATCTCATAATTGCAGAATGTCTTTACCTGAGAACTTGCTTTCACCTCATCGGCCTTTGTTCCTCTAGTGGACACCACTAATCTTGTGTTTTGCTCTGTTAATTCTGAACAGAAAAGAGAGAGTAGATATTAGGAAACGTCTGAACTCTGGTCTCACCAGAGTTTAGAAGCCCCCATTCTCTCCTTTTTTGAAATCTTGGAGATTCTCCTATCTCCATTAAAAGACTACACTTGAGGCAGCCCTGAAACCTGCATTCCATTCCATTTTCCGGTTAGGCTTTTCTGTTCCTTTGGGCCAGGGGAGGAGCCAGCCAGCTGCTGAGGTCCTGAGTCAAGGTCACAGTTTCCCAACAAGGTCAGGTGTATGGGAAGAGAAGAGGCCTGAGGGAGGAAGGAAGAGAAGGCAAACTTGGGGATGTGTGGGTTTAGTGCTTATTTTCCTTCTACTGCACCTCAGATGGACAACAGCCTTCCACAGCCTCAAGTTTCTAGTCTGGGTGGACAAAGCATGCTGGATTTGGATATGCTGTCCAAAAAGCAGGTTCTTGGTTGAACACATTGATGCGGAAGGGCAGGAGGAAGCTTAGCTGTGATCAATGCAGGAAAATCTAAAGGTGTATCAGTGTAGGGTAAAGAGTGAGTTATGCAAGCAAAATCAGTAATTATTTTAAAATAAGCATATGTATTTTTTATTAACTTTTAGTCAAATAGAGATTATTACAGCCAGGCCAACATGATAAGCCTAGAGATCTATATAGAGAGTGAACTCAGGCATTGTCTTGTTTTATTTGTAGACTAGAAGATACCTGTCCTGTTTTGTCAGTTCCCAGCTTTTTTTTTTTAGAATAAATTAGACCAAATAAAGAAACTTGCTTGTCTTTGTATACCCACAGAATTAATTTATTGCTGTTAAAAACTGGATTTTTCATTTTAACCAGTCCAGATGTTAGATATTCAGTAAATGATTTGTGTGTGTGTGTGTGTGTGTTTATGTGTGCGTGTACGTGCATGCTCATGTGCCAGTACTGGGGCTTGAACTCAGGGCCTTGTGCTCTCAGCTGGCACTGTACCATTTGAGCCACGCCTCTGCTTGCAGCTTTTTGCTAGTTAATTGGAGATAAGTCTGGAGGATTTGTCTGCCTAGACTGGCTCCAAACCTTGATCCTTAGGTCTCTGGATGTGAGCTGCTAGGATTATAAAGTGTGAGTCATCAGTGCCTGGCCAATAAATGACTTAAATAATAT